CTCCTCTAATCCTTTTTTATTAAGAATTAATGTTAGAGTAATGACAAGCATGCCCTTTAAGTGGGCGGCCAGCTAGGCAGTAACATAAAGAGATTAAACAAAAAGAAATAACAGGCCCATTAAGAGAGGCCCATTATCCAATAAGAAAAGAAAAGATATTACAAGAGAAGATACTAGGACCCATTCGGCCCAGTCTCTTTACACCCCATATAGTTGGGACAAGGCTAAGATGATGAAATATTAGCTTACACTATAACCCATGAGATATGAATGCTGTGCTTAGATTACCAAGGCCACAGATAGGGTTTAATTACATCCTTGTGGCAGTTGATCAGACTCTGAAGATTGTCACAATAAGTAAATATAAAATAACGCTCATCAGCTACTTTTGGAAGACTCTAGGTAAAATGGGACAAGGCTTATATATTCAACATCACGGGCATCTGACTATCCATGGATAGACTAATAAACGTTAATAGTTGACCACAGCTTTGGCAGTCTCTTACTCCATTCCAGTTATAATGTAGCCAAGCAGGAGTTACATGTAATAGCTTCGTTAATTGTTCCATGAGTTGTTTTTTGGTAATAAAATAAAAATTATTAAAAGAAAAAGAGAGAGAAATAACAAGGAAAGTGACCAAAAGTCACCCAAGAGAGAAAAGAGAAACAACTTCAACTACCATCGAAACCTCCAAACCAAAGACAGATCTCGACAAAACAAGATAACACAAAATCCCAAGAACCCAGTTATCCAACTAACACATCCCAACAACCATAGCCCAGCAATTTACCCAAACCAACAAACCCCCAAAAACAACTTGATAGGAACACAGCTCATCCCACTACCACTGCTGCGCCCACTAGTATGATATCCATACAGCCTTATCCGAATACCTATGTGAGAGGGCCACGTCATCTAGTTAGTTACAACTGACTCAGTCCCCATGTGATGTAAAGGGCTATAAATAATTAAAATGCAGTAAAGTGGATAACCTTTTTTGAGCATCAAACCATTCCTCCCTTCTCTTTCTTTCTGTAGGAGGAATGAGCTCCCTTGAAGAAGCTCCTGAAGTAGGCAGAAACCTACCACAACTTCAAGCAATCACACTTCAAAGGCCCTTTTAGTCTAGAAAAGACATCTGAAACCATATCTTGCTTTCACTCGTTTCTGAATCTTCTAACTGCTAGAGTATCCTTCCTGAGTCCAGCGAAACATTAGGCTCCTCATTAATCCTTTCTAGGTCCAAGATTGTGCTTTTCTCAAAGAACTAATCACCAACCAGTTCCGCATCTTTTTTTTATGACAACTCCTTCAAGCCTATCTGATAACATGTTGTGGCCATCTTCAGACATTGAAAATTTTTCTTGAAGATCTCCATCAGCCTCCCTCAAAAACATCGGGTATTTCTCTTCTAATTCCCTGAATTTTTTTTTCTAGCATAATCATCTCCCCCCAAACAACTAATACCCAAAACCTTGCTCACTTCAACTTCTATAATCACAATCTTTCCAAATCAACCTTTGTTTCAATAATATGGGTTTCATCCATTGTAATCTCTTCTTCTTCTGAATTGTCTTCCTCTTCTTCCTCCCCTCTACTTCCTCCTTTTTTTTTTGATCAATAACACAATTCATTAATTATCACAATAAATTACAGAGAGGAAGACAAACTTTCTTATCTTCCAACTACATCAAGAGCCCCAAGAGAGGAAACAAGAGAGAAAGAAAGAACAGAAAAAGAAGAAAATTAAATTACATCTTTGCCCAGAACATGACATCCCTGTCCACCCCTTGCTTAGCTAACCCATCAGCAAAAGAATTAGCTGATCTTTTTACCCAACTAATTTTAACTTCCATTTCTCGAACCAGCCATCTGAATTTCCTCTTCAAATTACTATAACTCCATAAACCACTATCTTCTTTGTTCAGCCACCCAACCACCACCTCGGAGTCCCCTCTATTTCCTCCTTCTCTGCTTCTTCCCTAGGGATGGATTCAAGCCAAGCCAATCCAAATATCTCACTTTTGAGCTCGGCTCAGTAGAAATACATGAGGTTCGAGTTTAGTCTTGAACTCGATTCAAGCTAGACACATGAGACCGAATTTAGCTCAACACAAAAGCTCATATGTTCAAGCTCGATAGTGAGCCAAATTTCATATTAAAAAAATAAAAAAGAAATAAACATGTAAAAAATATACAAATAAAAAATATTTACTATGGTATATATAAAAAATTAGGCTTGAGCTCAGCTCAATTACCAAACGAGCCTATATCTCCCCCCCCCTAGAATGCCCTCTGGTTCCTTCTCTCATCTCTTGAAAACTCTCCTCACTCTTCTTAGTTGACTGATCCACCTCAAGTTAATCGGAGCAATAGGACTTACCTCTATATTAGTTTTTGTCTCAATCATTGGCTTCATTTTGCTATTATTTGATCTATCAGCTCCTGTTTCACTCCAATATTACTTGCAGCCACCACCTGTGAGCCCTCCTCATAGGAATCCTCTACTACCTTCTAGGAGGAACAATTTCAATGTTGAAATTCCTCTTCCAAAGCCAAAGAATCATGCCTTAACTGAGGAAGACTTAAGTTGTCACATGCCTCCCCATCATTGGGCTTGGATTTGATTACTAGCCCACTTTGTTTACTCGCTTGAGTCACCCAAATCAACACCATGGTCTGGTTCACTCCTTGTCCCTCTTCTAAGTTGTTCAAATTCCCATTCAAAAATACAAACTTCCTGCACATGTCTCAAGCTATCAACTTCCCATCCCTTTTGGGCAAACAAACCAATGCCTTCCATGTAAGCATTCTCTTTCTGCCACTTCATCTTCCTCCCTTCTTGCATCCTTCCACAGGGAAGCTTCCATGGAGGCTGTCAACCACATAGAGTAGGACATCCCATCTTCAAAAACTTCCACTTTTCTGGGATTTCCTCTGGTTTAACCCCCCTCAAGATTATGGCTGCTGAGTGCAGATCCAAGATGAATTCCATCAAATTGAGTGCTGCGTAGTGATGCCAGTGATTCAAACAGTCCTTCCTTCCAGAGATGAAAGGGAAACCCAAGGATCCTAACAATAACTTCATTCTCAACACCAATTGCTTTTTCATTAGATAGAGGACACCACTTTGAAACTGTTATACCTGCAGAATCCGTTTGGATATTCAATGCTGATACATCATACATCTATTTCATCTTCCACCATTTCAACTAAAGCCTTGCACATTTCAAATGGGGTGATCATAATTGATTTCTTTATGCTCAAACCTTTTTCTTCCAATCTTGTGGTTTGTTTACTACTGCTACTTGAGCTTCTCCTTCCTGAATTGTGGCCTGAAGACCCTGAACTTCTTCTTCTTTCTCATTCAAGAAATTTTGTAACACTGTAAGTATCTCCTTCCACCCTTCACTTTTCCTGCCTTCTGGGAACAAACCACCTGCTTTTCTCAGGCTTCCTCATATTTTGAGCTCTTCCACATAGCATCTCTTCTCGATTTTATGGCACCTTCTATAAAGTTCCAAAACCATTCTATTACACCAGTACCCACCAGCAACACTGTCACCATTTTTAACTCTCTCACCTTCAGCGCAGCCTTCCTTGAGTTCTGAATCTCTCAAACAACAAACTTTTGGCTTTGATTTTCACTAGTCTCATCCATCGCCCAGTCCTCACAAACTCACGAATTCCATGAGTTGTTCACAGTTACATGTTCACTAAGGGTCCATTTGGTTTGCAGGAATAGGGTTCCAGAATCTGAACCAGAATGGTCCATTCTGATTCCAACTGTTTGGTTGGGCAGAACCAGAATCCCATTCTCATTCACTGGTTGAATGGCATCCCCCATTTGAGGGAATGGCCATTCCCTCCCCCTCCCTTGGGAATGAGAATCCATTCCAGCTAATACTGATTCCAGTTCCAATTCCAGTTTGAACCAAACAGGCAAGGGGAATAGACCATTCCGATTCCAATTCTGAAGGATTCTGATTCCGATTCTGTGAACCAAACGGACCCTAAGATCTTATCATTATCAGAGTCCTCATCAGGGGAAAAAATGTAAGTCTGAATTGTTTCATAAATTATAATTCTCAAAACTGTCTTTAAAACTATTGGTTTTCTTTTCTTTCAGAAAGCAAAAGATGATTTGAATCCAAAACTTTTTGAAATTTATTTAAAAATTTTAGACAAACAACAAAAAGAGAAGAATTGTTGACATTCTTGTCTATAAATAAACCTGCTTTAGTGGTTTTCTTTAACATGTAATACTAGCTTTCTTCCACCCCAATCCACTCTTTCCTAGAAGAACAAACAGATTAGTAAAGGTTGTTTCATGGAAAATGAAAAAAAAATAGAAACTAACTTTAGCATATTTTGTTTAGAATTGTTCAGATATTTATGGAGATATAATCAACTTTTTATGGTTTTGACGTAATAAAGACATATCTCTGAGTACATAATGATGTCTTATTCAGAATATATTTTTGAGCCAAAGTGTAGTTAAACACTTTTTATTAATTCATCAAAGTATCTACTGCTTTTCTTTTTCCTTTTGACCTTTTCTGCCATCATTTAGAGCCAGAATATCTCAGGTCATTTTTGCTTATCGCATTCTGTTAACAGTGCTCGAGAAGCTTTGTAAAAAATACTAAAGCTGTATTTGGAATTTCCCCAATGAAGCCATTTGCAACATCATTGACTCCATCATTCATGATGCCATCTTATCATTGGCCACCAGAAAATATAGAACCATTATTCTGCAGCATGATGGCATATTTAACAGTAACTATCATAACAATATAGGATATCAGTTAAATAAAATCTTGAAAGAATCATTGGGCATTCACTAGTACCTAGAAGTATTGCTATAAATGTTATGCCAATTCTATGCATGTACAGGTACATGTCTTCTAGCTATGGCAGTGCATAGAAGAATCACAATTGATATGATAATATCACAAGTTTAAAAAAAAAAAGAAAAAAGAAAAAAACTTAGATGTACCATGAAATATCGCTAGTAAAGGTTGCAATAAATATGCGCAAAAGGCTTTCTATAGGATAAAGAAGCTCCGGCAAGGAAATCACAGAATGCTGAGCTAGTGAACGGTGTTCCATAAACTCAAGACGGTTCAGGCAGAATGTCCCCCCTGATGATGAGCAATCAAATGTCCTGTTGTTCTTTAATTTGAAACCACTGTTATCTTGATGGCCTTTTCTGGTAGAATTTGGTACCAGACTCTTGAATTCACCACTGGAAACAGCTTTTACAACAGAAGTTTCATTAGCATGTTTCTCTTTGTCATCGAAAGCACAGTTAGATGCAGGAGAGGGGTTTGTTTCTGAAGCAAACACAGCCTCCCCAACTAAGCTCCTCTTCACCACACTAAGCCTTCCAGCATCCAAGACACAACAAGGACTTGGTTCACGCACAAAACCAGGCCTACCATTTTTCACCAATTTAACTTTCACAATGTCATTTGAAGTCACACCTTGAGATTTTTTTTCTCTACTGATAGCCTGATTCCCATTTTTATGTATACTATTCAAAAACACAGAACCTTGAATGTAATTTATGGGATCCAGACTGTCTAACATCTGCCTACATTGACTTAAAAGAAAAACAGCTCTGCCAGTAACGTCATCATATCCTGATCTACAAAGAGCTAAGTGCTTGCTTACATCATTTTCCCCTAAACCAAGTACATTTTCGCTTCCTTCTCCATGTACTGCTTGTCCCACAGAACATCCTGCAATAGTTTCTGCTTCCCCAATTAACTGCCTATCTACTGTAATCCCATTTAACCTGGGAACCTCCTCTGTGAAAATAACCCTTTCAACGACAAAACGAATCCTAATTCCCGGACTGCAATTGAATTCGTTTCTACAAGCAAAGGAAACTTCATCCCCAACAGATAACTCCATGACAGATCCTTTGCCAAGCCTAAAGCCATTAACGAAAACCCCATTTAAAGAACCCCTAACACTAAACCCCTCCTTTGTCTCTCTCCCTTCAAGACAACATCGAAATCTTCTCCTTATATCATCCAAATCACGACTACAAGGCATGAAGAAACCGTCCACAATAAAAATCTTTTGCAGCAACCCATCAAAGAAAATCTGGCAATGCCGCTTGCTTATTCGAGCATCCTCAAACACAATTTCACAGCATCGATTATTCCGACCAATGGTATAAAGCCAATCCGACCTTAGACAAATTGAATTATAAATAAAACTTGTGCTCGATAAAATTGGAGAAACATCAAAGGATTTCAAATAGCAAAAGCCCGCATTTGCAACGATTCTCTGTTTCTTGTGAAAAGAATGAGAGGGACGAAGAACCATATCCCCTCTTCCCCTCTTATTACAATCGTCAACCTCCATGAATCGAAATTAATCCAATAGACATTCAATGAGAGACCATAAATAATACATTCTTAAGCTATTCGATAGAAGGTGTGAGAGAGAAATAATTTAACGAGGCTGGGATGATAAGACCAGACCTCAGTGGTCGTAGACGGGAGACGAATGCGCAAGGCAGGAAGGATCTGTCCAACTAAAATCCCATCTCCCTCCATTTCCTCAGTATCTATCCCTCTCTTGAAGACTTTGAACTAAATTCCTGGCGAGTATGAACTGGAACTGCTTGGCTACTGTGTGTGTGCAAATGCTGAAATGCTTTATTAAAACTTAAGAGTATAACTCTCCCGCCATTTGCTTTTCGCAAAAGTCACCACTCACCGGTCACAACGTTTTCCTCCTTTGGTCCACAATCCACATATTGAAGACTGTCCTCCTTTTTTATCGGATGTCTCCGAAGAGACCAAGACTGTCGTTCTTGAGCTGAAACTATGTCCAGTGCAAATACATACAAAATCACTTTACACATTTGCATTTGTATTTCTATAGCTCAGGTTAGAAAGAGTACACATGCAAATATGCACAGTGCAATGGCCTATAACTCTAACCGTATACATTTGCATTTCTATTTTCATAGGCTCAGTTTGGAAGAAGTACAAATGCAAATATATAGAGTGCAAAACCTTATGTTTTTTATTATTTTGTATGTATTTGCATTTATACTCTTTCCAAACCGAGTCATAAGGCCTATAACTCTAACTGTAGCACAAACAAACTATTTTACTCCCGAAAAGATAAAAGGGATAACTTTCAAACCCACACCCCCCGAATATTTGGATACACATAAAAACATTATAAAAACACATCAAAAATACTAAATATAAGTACTAAATGATGTATATATACTTTAATGGTCTCATGAAAAAATATATCATAATTAATATATGGGAACAAATGAATATTTTCTAACAAAGATATAACTAAAAAATTATAAGTTGATAAATTATTCATCAAACTTGTAACTTAAGCTTTCAATTTGGTAATTCTTTTGGTATTAAAGTAATTAATTTGTATTTATTTTAATTTTAAAATAATAAAATATTCGAAAATGAATAACTTGCAAGGGAGAAGAGTCCAATAATCCTATCCAACCATCCAAGGCACATTGATACAACTTTTAAGTGGATATGTATAATTTTTGTTATTTAAAATGATTATTTCTATATTTTTATTCAAAAAATTATAAAAATTCAAAAAAAGATGAATTTTTAACAAGAAACTTTAATGGATGTATGGATATGATTGTTTATCCATATATTCACAATATAATCATTCTTTATTATTAGATCATACCAAAAATATAATTTTTCTATTATTTTATATTTTCCCCAATTTTTTCCACAACACTACATGGATTTACTTATAGCACAAAAATTATTGAATTTTCAATACAAAAAAATCAACATATATTTAAGCAATTTCATGCATTCAAGTAAAAAAGAAAAAAAAAAACAAAATGTACATATTATGGATGAACTAGAAAAAAAAAAAAAAAACATATCTATTTTTTACAATTTTTGCACAATGCAAGTTTATGTTGAAAACATTTTTGAGTTTTGGTTGAAAGCTTCTAAAGAGGGGTATAAGTCATATTTCACTAAATCTTAAAAATCAATTTTCTGTTTCCTATTATTCGTACTATATCAATCAATACAACACCGGTACGATATAGATATAGTCGACATAAGACTGATAGAGCACGATACATATCTGATGTGGCGCGATCCGGGCACTCCTAGCTGGCGACTGACAGGCTCCTTGCAGGCAATGAGCGGCACCTGAGAAGATGAAACGAAGGATTCCCGGGGGTTTGCCCGGTGGGAATACTCCGATGATTAAGTTAGTACTGTGTATGAAAGTAAAGAGGGCAAAATGAAAGCTAAGAGTGGAGGTCGCGCTTATCACTATATTCAAGAGGTTGGAGGTCTCAAAAAAGACTTTCTCCTCTGCCCTGGGGGCTTTTATAGGAGCGTTCTTGCGAGATCGGGCGTAACTGTCACTGGGCTCCTGCTGCAGCTGTTACCTGCCAGGTCTGCGCAGGTGATTGTTACAGTGTACTATCCGTTTGGTTGAGTGACACGTCCCAAAGGGGCAGGCACGCCTCCATCTGTCGAGAGACGTGGGTACAGACTGTCGAAAGAACAAGGACTGTGCCGCCAGTCGAGACGTAGCGTAGTCTGTTCGGTACGGTCTTGTCAGATGGAAGCTTCCTCAGAGCATCACATCACTCAGTCGCAAGTTACCTTGTAGCGAGCTACTTTGTAGTAAGCTCTTTGGGGTACTTCGAGGTGATCCACATCAAGGTTGGTCTTTGGGGCAGTCCTCTGCCCAGGTGCTAGAGCGAGCTGGTTTCCCTAGCTCGCGAGCTGAAATATTCTTGGAGTATTCCCTTATTGGTAACTCGGGGAACCTGGAGCTCGCGTTGTAGCGAGCCTCTCCTTTACCTTGCCACCGCGTAGTGGGCTACTTTATGAGCCTATCACTTAGCCGTGCTGGGACACAATGTTGAGCTGTCGCTTACACTGAGTCAATGTCTACGTGTCGTCGTTTCATAGGTTGGGTCAAATCATCCTTCATCAATTGCCCCCCACTCCTCGGGCTAAGAGTGCCGCCTTAGCGTGGGGAGTTTATGAAGCGCGATGGACTGATTTGACCGAAATTCAAACTTGATTGACCATAATAAATGCATTGGCGGGAATCAAGAGATCTTCTGACTTCTCCAACTTCTCGGATTCCGAAAATGTGCTGAGGTGGCCTTTAATTCCGAATGTCGTGCGACTGTGACTACCTTAATCGTGGAAGATGTGCCGCCAATCGCCTTCGGTTTTCAGAAGGCGTGCGGTCAGGGCGCCCGCGGGCCATTGGATCTGCTTCGATCCGGGCCGTCAGTTTGAGAGGGCGAGGGCTATAAATGGGGAGCCCCCCTCGGCCCTACCTCCATCCACGCCATCTTGCTTTGAATTCTGTGGTTGTGTACTTCACCTGGTCTACTTGAGTTTCTCAGTCCGCCCCGTTTCGTCTACTCTGGTGAGTCCCAATCGTCGTCAGCCATGTCTGGGTACCCACGCCATACCTACCACAGGGGCGATGGTCAGGATGATGATGATGCTCCCTTGAGCTCGAGGGGAGCCTGGGAGCATATCCCGGAGGCTCGGGAGGCCTCTAGTGACATGGCGTCCACTTCTAGGGGAGGGAGCCTGATACCTTTGGCCCTTCCTTGATGACAGCGGAGAGGCTCAGGTCTCTGATCCGCTACTTTCGCCTTCTTGGGGACTTGGTTTACAACCTCCTTACTGACAACTTCCCTTGGGAGCATGGTCCCAATGACATAGTGATCTTTCAAGAACAGCTCGAGGCTGGCCTGCGTCTTCCCCTGCACCCCTTGATAGTGGAGGTGTTGAACCACTTCAACGTTACTATAGACCAGCTTCACCCCAACGCTGTTCGAAACATGGTTGGGACTATATCCTTATGTCACGAGTACTGCCTCCCTTTAGACCTTGACATTTTCGCCTCTATCCTTTGTATAAAGAATGCTGCTCCTGGGGTTCCTCCGGAGAGGCTCTTTTACTACCTCTCTCCCCGTCGCGGCTACAAGCTCTTGTACAAGCTGTCGAATAGGATCCCTGCCTGGAAGCGGGACTACTTTGTGGTCTGTAACCCTGAGGGGTGGCCCTTTCCCACCGCTTGGAGGGCGCCATCCAGGACCCCGGGGCCAAGCTGGACCCTGAGACTCGGAAAACGATGTTGTCCTGGGCATCGGTAGGCTTCCTTTGCTCGGACTACTTGGCCAAGGAGAAGCTCGTGTAAGCAGGCTTGAGCCCGGGTAGGTTGGCCTTTTAGGTCGTGTAGTGTCTTGTGACTTGTGTACACATGCATTTTGCTTCCTGTTGGACTGATATCTTGTGGTCTTTTGGCAGCCATCATGTCTAGTGCCGATTCGCGCCGCCTTCTTTCGGGYAGCCARAGACGCCAGGTGAAGAGGACGCGCCCCGACCKGACCCCTCCTTCGGGAAGCACTAAGTTCGGGTCTGCCGAGTCGGTCCTGCCCTCTCCTCCGCCCGAGGTTCCGATGCCCCCTCCTCTGCCTGAGGTTCCGATACCCCCTTCTGAGGGGACTAATGGGGTCAACCCTGGGGGAAGCGAGCCCTCTCTGCTGGGGGAGGCCCCCTTTAACCCCCTTCAGCCCCGTTCTTACCCCCGGTTCCCAGTGGGAAACTGGGAAGGGGTAAACGATTATCTGGTAGCTCACCGGAGGAGTTGGAAGGTGATCAGTAATGACAAGATAGCCCAGTGGGGAAACATGGAGCCCGGGGATCTCTTTGCATTCACTTCTGCCCACTGCATGGTGGTGAGTGACCCTTTTCCCTCTTCCTCTCTTGTTTTGCCCTTTTCCGCTGTCTTCTGATCTTTCTTTTTCGCCGATAGGTAAATTCTGCCATCCATGTCATGGCTCTCTAGACGTGCATCCATCACGTTGACGCCCTCGATCAGCGTGCTGCCAACCAGAAGCTCCAGGTCGAGCTCCATCACACCTGCAAGGGGAGCGAGTCTCAGGAGCTGCTCGTCCACAATCAGGAGGCTCAAATCGCTCGGCGTACTGAAGAGAGCGCACGCTATAGGGAGGAATCGTCGAGGATGGCGGGGGAGAGGGAGCTCCTCAGGCAACAGGTGCGGGACCTGGAGTCCACTCTTCTGAACCGGACCCGAAACTTTGACCAGATGGTGGAGGCTGAGCGAGAGAGAGCCGTCTGGGATTTTAAGGACTCCCAGGAATTTCATGACCTCCAGGCGGAGTATGGTTCGGGTTTGTACCGCTCAGGGTTTAAGCTCTGTCAATGGCTGGTTCGGAAGAAGTTCTCCGGGCTCAACCTCGACGGCATTACTATGAAGGGTCTGTCCCCTGAGACAGCAGACCAAGCAGATGAGGAGGAGCCTGATTCTCTGGAGGATGAGGAGGCGGATCCTTGAGGTGGCGTTTCTCTGGGCTTCTGTGGCTTCCGGGTGACGTAAACCCGGTCTTTCACAAGTTTTCGGTTGAGCGGTTGTGCCCTATGATGATCAAACCTTTCCCGAGCTGTTTAGCTCGGTTACTGCACTTGTTATTTTCTTTATTGTTTTTTTTTCGACGATGAAAGTTTCTTCCTTCTTTTGAGTATGATGAACTCCTTTTATTTTTACTAAAGCAATCTCATCATTTGAGCTGTTAAAGTTACATACTCGAAGTAGGGCTCTTCGGTAGGCGTTATCCCGATTTGTCACGTTTAAGGCCCCTGTGGTATACCACAAAGTGATTACTACATACGCCCGAGCTAAGCATTGGTTGGTTATCCCTTAGGTCGACCGACGTATCGAGACGAGCTATGCTTCGGGGGGTTTAAACCCGAGCTGCTTACGCCTTTAATATTTCATACTTTGCCTTCGCTATTAAGGTAGCTGTCTTTCTTCACGCCGGGGTCTTTGTTAGCTTGGTGTTTTGGCCCTTAGGCTTAGGGAGGACCCATAGTCCGCTCTTGGATTCTCCCAAGCCGAAGTGGCGATTGGGGTCTTCTTGCGCCGAAG